TCTTTTTTAATTCTTTTTTTTTTTTTGTAATTTAGTTGCATTTAACTGAGCTACTGTGAAAGGAACAGAAGTATTTTTTTCAAGTCAATAGAGTTCAATATGTTTTACTAAAATAAAAACCAGTTGCAGGCTAAATTTTAAATTTGATGGAAATATAATCCATAGAAAAAATTCTCCTAAGATATTAATCATATCTTATTATCTGCATATAGTAGCAGAGAATTGAAGAAACTAAGGAATCTCTCACTGCACAAGCCATTTCAAGTGGATTGAAAAAAGCTCCAGAGAGCAACAGACATGCACCTCCAATAAATGGAGTTTGGATGATTTAAGAGAATTTCCTTTAATACTCTGTATGAAAACTTGTTGCAGAGCTGAAAGCCCAGATTTTATCATACATGTACTGCAAAATACAAGAAGAAAACAGAAAAGTAAGGATAAAGCAGTTAGAATCCCTGCAGAAGCTGCATGATACATAAAAAAGTAACTAATTTTTGAGTTTGCAAATTGTGCTGTTAGAAAATATGTAAAGATTATCTGCAATATATAACTCCCACTTCTTGCTTTAAACTTTACATCTTACTGTTCCTTTCAAGTCCAAAAATACTTTAATTTATTCTGGCTTGATGGGGTTTCTTTTCTGCTAAGAATTTCTATCTTAACAAAATATTTTCTTTTCAAAGTTGTCAAAAAAGACAAACTATTTTTCTTTTTCTTATTTTACAAAAAATGACCACAAAATTGTCCAATGATGTAATCAGTTAATTGTCTCCCCCTCATTCCAAAATTTCATACCACACTGGAGTTACACTACATGAAAGATTTGTCTCATGAAAGTCAGTCAAAATTCACTGATTTGGCCCTTTGGAGAGCGCACAAATTACCAGAAAATCTGGGTGTATGTTATAAACAGAGCAAGGAGTAAAACCAAGACAAATTAAAGTAAATATTTCCTTATACATTTCTCACCTAACAAAATCACAATTTTTTCTTATTGAAATAAATAGCATGTAACTATTAAAGTACAGATCTCATGTCTTAATACTGAAAGAAACCTATCCTAGAATAAACCAAACCAACATTCATATTTTTTTGGAAAAAAAAGCATAATTTTGCCATTTGTGTAAAACTTACTCTGTAAATCCGTGATTTTTTTTATTCTTCAGGTTTTCCATTGTTTAGTGTGCATTAAGCCTTACAACCTACTTGTACCTAATCACACACTGCATATTTGGACCTGAGCTATTAGCTATTATGCTGATTACTCCTGCATCTGTGCTCTTAATTGGGGAGCAGCCAATGCAGTTATTCCCAACCCAAATCTCCTCTGTCTTGCTGTGCTCTTCCAGCCACAAACTAGACACAACCACGGTGTTTTCACGCGGACACCACCATAAGAGAGGTTGCAGGGCCAACAGGAATTGCAGATTTACCTGGTAGGTTTCCCAGAATTTCCCCAAGCCCATCCCCTGCTGATGAATCTTTGCTATGTCAGTAGTGGTGCCTCCTTGTGTTAGTGTTTTATAATACCAATATATAATATCACCCCTGTAATAAAATATCCACCACTACCTTTGGACTAACTGCAGATCAAATTTTAGAAATGAGATTTTTCTTGGCAACATCTGCACAAATGAAAAATTAAATAGTTTTAGTAAGAAGAACAGAAACCCAGGCACTAAAGTCTAACTGCTTTTATTACATCTAGAAGGTGGTAAATTATTTCTTCATATACTACTTTCGGTATGAAATTGCAGGGTAGCTCCTAACATTTCTTAGACCTTCACCTCCTGGACTTAAAAAAAAAAAAACAGTGAGAATTTCAAAAATTATGTATTTATCTCATGTAAAAATAGGATGTAACCTTTAGTGAGGGATGAAAAAGTTGAAGAGATTTTCCATGCTCCTCATTGAAAAGACTATACTAATGGTCATGCCTGACACATAAAAGCTCATAAAAGCTGTTATGAAACATTTTCATAAGACTACAAAGCTGGTATAACAAAGTACAATATTAATTTACTTGTCTTTTCTCTAATTCTGTTATCAACTTGTGATCAGTGGGAACAGGGAATCTTGAAATGATTAAATATAATTTTTAATGTGTTAGAATATTTTAGCAAAAAATACAATTATTCTATTACTTTTCATACATTTAGCCCTTTTTGAATGAAAATAAAATGTCCATCTTCTATGATGAATTGGATGTAACTCACTTGGTTTGCTTTTCACATGCTATTTCTGCATATGGCACAATTCGTAAGACTTGATGAAAATTCCAGAAAGAAAATGCTTTGCAGTTTCTATTTGTACAGGACAGCAGATAAACATCTTCAAACTCCATCAAATGAACTGAAGAATGATTCATCATTTCTCATGAGCCCAATAGAAAACGATAGATCATAATCAAGAGCACAATTTCTTTTTTTTGCACAATTGTTTTACATCACACACAATGTGGTCACCTGCAAGAGAAATTTCATTAGAACTTTCTGTCAGTTATGGTCTGTCATACAGGAGATACAGGCTTCCTTCTCAACACTGTTGTCTCTGGAGCAGTAATAGGAGGCGTAGGCATGTGATTTGAGCACCAAAACAAGAGAGCACAGCACTCCTTTCATTTTTATTGCAGAGCCCAGTTCATAATTCAAATTATGATCTTCTCTAACTCTGGTATTCAATTCACCTGCAAAAAAGCTGAGTGTTTTGTGGAAGTAAGAAGGAATCAGAAGTGATATCTGTGGTTCCAAGAAGGATATGGAACATGATGGGAAAATCATAACTAATATGATTGACATGTAACACATACATACTTACCCAACCAAACACACCCAAATGCTTTTCCGTTATGTTTATTATGAGCAAGCAGGAGTATCTGGTTTTTTGATTGGCCAATAAAACCGCATTAACACTCAATAAGAATTAATATATTGTTTAAAATAGTCACTGATAGTATTTTGTATTACTGCAAAAAGGATCAAAGATCGGCACTGATGCAGTGTTGCACTTGACAGTAACTATTCCTGTTTTCTTATAGGCCTCATTCTAACCTACTTTAGGGGTTAGTAAAGTACTACCTATTTATAAAACCATGTTGACCATAACTGCTTTCACAAATATTGGTTAGAGTAGTCATAATTTGTTAAGATAAACCCATTAATTACAGATTTGAGTAGTCCAGATTTAGGTTTCCTAAATGGATTTTTTTTTTCAATTTTCAGATTAGCATTGGCCACGGACAGCCTATTACTAGCCAGATGGGCAAAGAACACATAGGAATGTGTAACTGTAGTAGTTTTGTACAGAATCTATCACAATGCTTAAAAGAAATCACCAATGAAATACGCAACCTCACTTTAAAGAAACAGGCAAACCTAGGAATCACAGCTGCAGTGTTTTACATTCAGGTCCATCTTTGCCCTCTATTAAAATTCCCTTTGAGTAGATGTTATTTTTCATGTAGCACATCAAAGGATAATGCCTTGCCAAATGTTTCTTAGAGATTGTTATAGAACTTTGGGTTTCATTCGGTATTATACTTATCAGACTCCTTGCAGGGTGTGATTCATTGTCACCTATCTCCACTGTGTCCTCTCTAAATCAGGCCTTTGTACCACAACATTCACTTGCAACCTTGAGAACTGTGCATCCAACAGGAGATGTTTACCTCCTCAACCTATCAGAATTCCATCTTAAACTTACAGAAGTATATTTTTCAGTGGGGTCTTCAATCTGCATGCTGTTCTGTACTAGAAAGATCCAAACAGATTTTGCTAACAATATTATTTACCTGGAACAAGACCCCAGAAACCCTCAGTAAAGGTGGTTAAGAAAGAAAACAGGTGAAAAAATGTTCAGAAATTATATATAAGATTCCTTTTTTCCCCTAATTTAAATCATTTTAAAATGCTTCTGTTCAGCTGCCAATGCATAAAGAAGTTTAATTTGGCAGAACTTCTGCTTGGAAGAACACAATATCCTGGAGTAGGTTTTCTTATGGAAAGCTTTTCTTTTAGGTTTCAGTGTGCACGATATACACCAGTCCTATACCAGTAAGCTAAATCCAGAGAATGTATGTAAACAGAAAGGCAAAGGGTGTGCATTTCCCATTGGTAAATGAGTCTGAGTTTAAATTAATGGAATCTGGGATTCTAATTGTCATGCAAATTACAGTAACTTATAATATCCTCTGATTTGTCTGACTTTGTTCTTTCTATTTTTTAAAGGCAAATCCTCAGATTTCTTCCTGTGATTTATTTTAGAACAGCATTTTGATTTGATTTTGCACATAGGGATACAGCTCTTATTACAGGTATTATTATGGCTAAGCTTCTTTCATATTTGTGCCTAGAAGTCCCAGAACAACTGAAATGGAAACCACTAGCTTCGATATAAAGATGAATTTTCTTATTGCCAGTTATAAATAATAAAAAAAGAAAAAAAAGTTTTCAGTTTTGTCTAATAAATTCAGTGATAACTGAAGCTCCTTGCAAAACTTTTCTGGCATTGTGAAAAGCATCTTGTGATATAATAAAGATAATTGGAAACACCATTAGAAGGAATTATCTCAATCTTGCATTAGAAATCAAACACCCTTTTTTGTCAGTATGTTGTTTTCATCAACTAAAATGAAAACTTTGATATCCTTCAGTAATGATACAAAATGCTTTAATTATTCTCTTTAAAGTGATTGTTTTGGACCATCAGAGCAGATTATCATAAGAATTTTTAACAAACTTTCGATGTTTAAAGTCACACTAAGAATGAGCTATATCCAAGTACAGAAAAAAACCAATATTTTATTTATAATCTTAGTTTAGTGTTTGAACTACAAATTCTGGTTCTAGAATTGCTTAAAAGTTCATGGGTTTTATAGGCTTTCACAAGTAAATTAATTTTTGGTTGTTTTTTTTTTTTTTACTTTTTTTTCCATTTTTTTCACAGAATGGTGCTTTTGGTAAATACAGAGCAAATCATTACATGGAGAAAAAAAAGGCTTACTTGTTTTTCTCACTTGCAAAGTTACTGTTTTTACTCCATTCTCTGTTGAATAATTTGAAAAAGGGCATGAGAAAACAAAAGAAAAAAGAGAAAGTGACAAAATAGACCGAATCTCACCACTAGAATTCACCATAAAAATTCCCAAAGTGTAACAGAATTCTTACAAAATTTCCTAGATCAGTTCTTTTAGGGAATCAAGATCTCCTATGAAAAATATGGCAAATGGGAGTTGGGGTAGGTTGGGCAGGAAAACGGGAACGAGGAAGGTAAATAACTGCAGCAAAAACAGGTTCTGAGGAATACACATAATTTTGTCTGCTTTAGATCACAATAGAATTTTTAATAAATAAATTTCTTTTTCTTTGTAAAGACACTTTTGAAACAGTAGATTTAGCCCAGTCATTTGTGTCATTTGTTTTATAAACCATCTTTTGTTGTCCCCCCACCCCACCCCTTAATGTCATAAATGTTTTAGATTTGAGTCTCTTGAACATTGTCTTTCGAGTTCATTCGGATCAATAACGGTTCATGCACTGAACTGTGTATTGAATTTATTGTGTTAACTGTTGTTGTGTGGTTGAAAGGAGATTTGTAAGAGTTATAGTGATTTAAGTGCTCATGCTCTATTGCTGGCATGGGCAAATGACTCTCTATGGGTGTGTCACCTGTAAGCTCATCATCCACATTAATGATCTCTACAGTCCGTGTTGGAGCATGATGGTTCTGCCGGTGATGCTGTTTCCTCATTTTGTAGAAAATTACCAGCATCACAGCAGCCATAAGAGTGATAGCCACAAAACAACCAATTATGATTTTGGTAGTCTTCATAACCTCATCTATTCCTGGGATCCCGTTGTTTGTGTCCGTCACAGGAATGGTGAATGTTTTTTCTGTTGATCTTGTGCTCTGTGGAGTGAGTGAGGTTGTCATGTTAATGGTTTCCCAGTTGGTAACTGGTGTGGGCCCAACCTGCTCTGTGGTCTGTGCCTCATCCTGAGAAGGTTCCACAGTCTCTACCGTGACGGTTGAAAAGTACGTGTAACCAGGGTTATCCAGGGCGGTCACATTCAGCGTGGCAGAAGCCGTGGTATTCCCAACAGAGTTACTCACCATGCATGTGTACAAACCCGTGTCTTGCACAGTTACCTTTGTAAAATTTAATGTGCCATCGCTGAGCACAGCAATCCGAACTCTGTATGCCCCATGCGTCATTACAGATCCATTTGGAGTAATCCAAGATACGGAGGTCAGGGAGGTCGATGCCCGGCATTTCATCTCTGCAGCCATGCCTTCTGTGACGTTGAGGTCTGCTGGTGGCTCCACTATGACTGGAGCATAACATGTGAAGTAATTCAGGTCCAGCTCACCAATGTACCTTCCTTTTAAACTGGGAGGCGTGTGGCAACGTGCACAGCATGCAGTATTCGAGGGTGCCTTGTCTTTAATCCACCAGCTGAGCCAAAGGATATCACAGTTGCAGTTCCAAGGATTGTGATGCAAGTGGATCCTTTCTAGGCGGAGTGGTGTGAACAGGTCATGAGGCAGAAGTGTTAGATTGTTGTGTGCCAGGTTGATCTCTACAAGTGACTGAAGGTTATCAAAAGCATTCCTTTCTATCACTTGAATCTGGGACTGTATCATCCACAATTTCTGAAGATGCATTAACCCTTGGAAAGAACCTGGCCGGATGGCAGTCAGGTGATTCCCAGAAAGATCTAACTCATCCAGTTTTACAAGTGGAGTAAGGTTAGGAATCTCTCGAAGATTGCACATGGCAAGGTTCAAATACCTCAAGTTGGACAGACCTTCAAAGGCACCTTCTGAGATGTACGAAAGCCTTTTCAACTCCCCCAGATCCAACCTCCGGAGAGAAGGGATTCTGTTAAAAGCATAAGAAGGGATGCTCTCAATGGGGTTGTTTCTCAACCACAGTTCCTTCAGTTTTGACAGGTATACAAAAGCCCCATTTGGGATAGTGGTCAGACGATTGTCAAAGAGTTCCAAAGTGTTGAGATTGGCCAGACCATTGAAAGCCCCTATTTCAATTGTTCTGATGTGATTCCTGCTGAGCTGCAGGATTTCTAGGTGCCTCAGATGCTTGAAGCTATTAACTTTAATGATTTGGATCTGGTTCTCATGGAGATTGAGTAGCCGGGTGTTGGTGGAGATGCCGTCTGGCACGTCTCTAAGGTTTTTCCGTACACAGATCACTTTACTGAACTGGTTGCTGCAGGAGCAGACAGAAGGGCAAGTTTGAGCCCTCACTAAACCAGCCACCACAAGAAGCTGAAGAGCCAACAGCACTACAAGCAGGGGGTCAAATAGGGCCCTGTTAAACCTAGGACCTATCATTATCTGCTGTGGATGTAAGGTCATCTTGTTCAACATTCATAATTTATTTGGTGTTGGTCCTTCTGGAGTTTGAATCGTCTGAAAGAAAGGAAGAAAGGAGAAGGAGAACATTAATCTCAAATAATTGTGTTCTCTCAACAAAGGCTTCCTCAAGTCCTTTCAGTCACCTCTACCAATTTCTTGAAATTCGATAGTGAGAACAGGTAAAGAATTGCTAATACTATTTTTCTGTACAGATATGTACGTCAGCTGCAGCTGGCAGTGAGATAAGAAATAGCCATACATTAGTTCTCCTGCACATTCCAATGTACAATGCATGTAGGTGGATGGCAGATAAGAAGTTCAACCACGGTGAATACCTGAAAGAAATGTAACTCAGGGGAGAGTTGAAAGAAAGGACAAGCATCTCAAAAGGCAAAAGTTAGCAACATAGGAACATAGTAATATTGGAATCTACTAAGATAGGAATTATCAGAGTATTCAAGGTGCTAACCTTTTTTACACATTGTAAGATAAGACAACAGATTATATGAAAAGCAAGTGAGACTTTTGTGGTATGGATAAAAATCTTTGTCTATACAAACATGATTCCTGAATCAGACTTTAACCAGAAGTAATTCTCTAAAACTGTCATGCAGATAACAGGGCAAGATCTTGCCTATAAGAATTAAAAAAAAAAAAAAAAAAAAAAAAAAAGAAAAAAAGAAAAAATTAAAATAAAGACGCATGCTCCATCCAATTTAATGATATGTCCTCTTCAATTCTTTTATTTGGCACCCAAAGCAAAGAAAAACTCATCCACAAATGTATACTGAACACAGAAATGTGAATAGCCATTTATTTAAATGCTGAAAAATATCCCTGTAGCTGCAGGGCTGGCAGTTTCATTGGCACCTTGAAAAAACTCGCAAAAAATTCTTACTGCAAAGGGAAAAAAGACCTTTACACTACAAATGATCATTACTATTTTAAGAACTTCAGTACTGATTCATGTGTGGCAGTTTTTACAGTCCCCAGCATTCAATTCATTTTCAATCTGCTGCTCAGTTCAAGATTCCTCTGTAGCCGAGATTAATGAAATTTCTATAAATCAGCCAAAAGTGAAGTCTTAGAAATTACAGCAAGCTTAAAGCATATTTATAACCTAGAGCACCCAGATGGATAGTACATATATATTCAGTAAAACAAAATACCATAAGGCAACAGTTTTCCACTCCAGGCTCCAAATTGATTCATTTTATGTAAAAAATGGAGACCTTTCTTAAAAAAAAGACAAAATCTCAAAAAACCTCAAAAAAACCCAACAAACCAACCAACAAACCAACCAACCAAAAAAAATAAAAAAGAGAAAAAAAAAAAGAACCCAAACCAGGAAAATATATTAACTTTCATCTCACAACAATTCATTTAATGAAAGACCTTTTTTTTCTCTAATTATATATTCAGACAATGTGTTTTTGAGAATTCATTTCTGCATTTTTAAAAAACCTGTTATAAGGGTTTAGAGCCAGAAAGTGTTCTCATCTCATTTTTAATAATTTACTGCAGAGAAAGCCAATATAATGGCTAAAAAACTGTGAAGGGAACTAGAAAGTCTGGGCTGTATCTGTATGTTTGATCTCTCTGTATGTGCTATTTATAAAACATCATTCTTGTTATGAAAGATTCATGAAACTAATGTGTTTTGCAACCTTGAGCAAGTCACTCAACTTTTCTCTCTGCAGCTTACAGTTCTGTCCCATGGCTCTGGAGAACCCTGTGGCTGTAGTGTTAGATGTTACTGCTCCCACCCCTCCATCCCTTCCCTCTGCCAACAACTGTACTCCTGAGCATCAGCTTCATGGGTTTAGGACAATGTACTAGACTAGATGAGGGTTGGCTGCTCAACACAACTTCCTTTTCACTGCAGGCTCACAAGGTCACTTATCTCTTCAGAGGTATTGAACAGGACGTATGGAGAAACACTCTAATCACTAAAATTCAAGTTCTCTTGCAAAAGTCCAAGTGTAGTAAAAGTATCTTCAAAAAGTAGGTGAAAAGGCCATAGTTCCCATCTTTCTTACATATTTTTGAAGAGAAGTCTGCAGTTGTGGTCAAACGAATACTATTAGAGCCTAATATCAAGTTCCTTAGTCAAGATCTGTGACCCATGAATTTTGCTGCTGAGTAGTAATTAACCATCATCTGTGACAGTTAATGTTATTGTATTAGCATTTTTGTCACCTTTTTTTTATTATTTTTATTTTTTTTTTTGTTCAGTGATTTGTTTTTCCTTTCTCATTTTCAAAATTCTTCTAAAACTTTTACCCTGAGGACTTGGACTGAATATTGAATTCCATTAACAAGTAATAAAACAGAGAGAAACACAACAAACCAATTATTTTACCATTACATGGTGCAATGTTTTCATCTTCACTGAAACTGGGATGAGAACTCAGCCTGCTGTGCCTGCATTCAGAGCTGCCAGTTACCCTTCTGAACAAGTGAGGTGAGGCACAGGCAGCACGTGGGGCTTGCAGAGGTACAGGAATCTTCTCAGACCAATTCTCTACCAAAGGCCAGCTTTGTAGGATGTCATACAGCTTCTCTACCTTTCTTTTTGTGTCTGTCTGCTCTCAGTCCTGCATCCTGGGTTCCCTGAAGGACCATGGAAACTACTGCATTTGTAGAACAAAAAAGTACAGAGAAATAAGAAAGGCCATGGGAGAACAAGCACCCTCAACATCAGACTATGTATGCACCAAGCTCCTTCAGCTGCTCTCTCCTAGCCTCCGTAAAGCTAATGATCCCAAGCCATGCTGCAAGCACTCCAAGGCACTTTCCTCCTGTTCCAATTACTTGAACCTGATGGTATCTCCCAACATTTCCTTTACCTAAATCTTCATCCAGCAAATCTTCCCTTTTCATCGCTACACATGCGCTCCATGGGGGAAAAAGAAATCATTTTATCTGAATACAGTACATCATTACAACAAATAAATTATCCAGTTATGAGACTGATCAGTAAATGTTGTCTAACCCAAACGCAAATATTTCCATGTCTCAGTTGCAAAAAGATTTTTGAAATCAATGCTTTTATCTAAATTCCTTATATCCTTCCTATTTTTGGTTATTGACTGAAACAATGAATCATTCACATAGAACAGCTTTTTCCTTGTACTGAAGGCCAAAATTGCCTGTGGCTTTTACATTTACTGTTCTCCCTAGTCCTGTGCTAGGGATGTCTCAATCAAACATATGCCTTAGTAAAATGATCTATCAAAGACCTCCAGGGAAATCTGACACCCTCAGCTTTCTGTAAAATTCAAATCTGTGCATACTTCAAATATAAGTTTGGCTACTGACTAATTGATAGCTTCTCTGAGTCTAGAATTTTGAAGACAGGATCCCCATTTTGTGATATGTGAATACAAAGTTCTAGATATGTTTTCACATGTGTTGGTATGTTTGATCTTTCTGTGTTTAAGCCATATCCTGTTTAATATATAAGTACAGAATATCTATATTTCTATCCCTCTGCAACATTTTCCAGGGTACAGTGAGAACAAATCTTAGTTTTTGCAGCCACAATATGATTTAAATTTGGATTTATTTATATTAGTTGATTTTTTCCCCCTCTTCACTGGCAATACAAGAAGCAAAATGCAGTTTTTAGGACAAGACAACACTAAGTGGACTTGATGGTGCTGAAGTACAGGGGAGCTGATGATCCAAAAAAGGTGACCATGACCAGCAGAAAATAGACTAGGCAATACCTTGCTAGTCCTCACTTCCAGCTAATGAGGTTTGCATGAGGCTGTCATAGGGCAGTAAGATTCCTAGTGGCAGGAAGAATGTAGTAAAAAGATAATTTCTTTTATGCTGGTGGTTTTCCAGAGCTCAGAACTTAAATATTCAGGAGGCCTTGCTGAAGGTATTTCATATCAGGGTAATTTTAAATCATAAATATCTTGGAAATACCCTGGAAAAACAATTAGCCAGCACAAAATCACAGTGGAAAATTAATTTTAAGCCTTGAAGGGTGTTATGGAAATATTTTAATGGACTTTACATAAAGATCCATCTGGAGCTCTGTACTAGAGTAATTTGCTATTCAATACCTATTTATGCTAGAGACACAGGAAAGTTTAGGTTGACAAACCCACACATGGAACACAGACCATCAACCAGCTTCTTTAGTCTATGTTGACGCCTCTTTATCATCTAAGTAATTTTTTTTTTCATTTTTCTAGTACCAAAATAGCAACTCTATGGTCAATTCAATACCACGAGTGCCCTCTGCTGTATAGACTAAAAAATTTAGTTTAAAATGTTAAGAATTTCCTTACTGCACAGTTGGTTCCCCAGACACAGTACAATTATCAAATGTGTTTCCAAACATGGCCTTAAGTCTGTCTGTGGCACTGCTCTAATTACTACAGCATATATCATCTTTTTTTTTTTAGCAGAGTAATGTATATTCCCTTTATGGCCATGGAGACATTCCCAGACATACATGAAGAGTTGTTTGTTTGGTTTCCTATTTGCACAGAAATAGAAAATCTTTTCTTTTTTTGAAACTGACGTTTTATATGCACATTCTTCTCTCTATATCTATCTGAGTCTTTGTTACTCCTTGTTACTCTTGATGTACTACACATTTTCCTGTGAGATAAAAGTACTGCCCTCTTAAGATCCACTGCAGAAGAGGAAGCAAGGAATGACAGAGCTAATCCACCTCTGTAGCCAAGCACAGTGTGGCTTTCCTTAGGGACAGCTTGAAAGATGCCGTAATTACCCTATTGAAACGTAACTTTGCCAAATGTGTATGCAGAGATGCTTTCCTTATGGGCACTGTAATAGTACAATATCTCTTTTTTTTTTTTCCTATGGTAATTGGGTCTTGAGCCTGACGTGCTTTGTTCTCCCTTTGCTGTACTACCAGGTGAAAGTGACTATGCTCCCTCTGATCGCTGAAAGATTTTCCTGTAATGGGGGGCTTTGATAATAAAAGAGAACTTCCACACCATTTCCAAAGATCTGCCTAATGAGGTATGGCAGGTGGCAAAGATATTTCCCCAAGCTCCAGTGACCCTTAG